GGCCGGCGGGGACGGAGGCGGCGACCCGGGAGCGGCCGCAGACTTCGGAAAGGCGCCTTGAGTTCTTCCTTCACTTGGAGGAAACTGAGAGGAGTTAGGGACTTTTCCAAGTCTGCCTCCTCGAGGGGTGGGGGTGCAGGAGCCGGAGAGTCTTTTGAGGGGAAAATAGATTTTCTTTTATCTCTTATAAAGTGAGATTATGATTTCCTGAAATTTATGTTTTTCTTTGTAAGGGCTCTTGGATTTTTGTGTTACTATCTGGGCCGTATAACGGCCTCTTAAAATCTGAATTTACTCTTAAGCTCATGTTGCGCAAGTGTCAGATCCGTGGCTCTGGGCTTTGGGGGCTCTGCAGTTTCCAGTTAAGGCATTTCAGCGCTTTTTTTTTTTTTTTTTTTATGGTAATGTTTTCTTTTCAACTCCAGTGACCTTCCTGAGACACTACAAACAAACCAACAAAACCTTCGCTCACAAGCCCCTCCATTAACTCAGAGGTTTATGGACAGAAAATAAACAATTCTAAATTCCCTGGGCTCTAGTCTCCAGAAAAGTGAGGTCAGAAACTAAACATTTGATAATTGTGGCAGGAAATGTGGAAGGAATTAAGAAGCATGAGGGAGAAGAAATGGAATGCACATTACAAAAGAAATAGCTCCCTGGTGGGTGGTTTTTACGCCCCTCTTTGAATTTTTTTCTGCATATTACAGTTTCTCGGCCCATCCTTAGCACTACAGCTTAACTGGGCCCCAGAATTCTTAAATGAATACAATGTTTTCACAGTTAAAAAAAAAAGTGCACATTGTACCAAAGTCTTGACTTCCACCACTATGGATTAAAAACACAAGGTAGCTGTACTCCCCATGAAATAAAAATATATAGCATTTGTTAAATATTGACTGTGTGGCAGTAAAATACCTTGTTCATGAGAGAGAAACTGAGTCAGAGAAGTTTATATTACTTACCAGCTGTCCTCAGTTAAAGCTAGGAACAGGCTCTTAACCCAACAGTTTGGCTCCAGGCTCCAGGCTTTTCTTCTCTCCCCAATCCACTTCCAGCCATGAAGCATTAGCATTCACCAAGTGTTTTGTATACCAGACATTCACTGTGTATATTACCTGCATCTTTGCTTTGAAATCTCCTCCAACTCTATAAGGTAAGTTTATTATCCGCATTTTAAGGAGAAGGGATCAGATTTAAGGAGAGCAGGTACCTTGCCCCGGGTCGTACACCTGGGTAGTTCTGAGAGGGCTCTCCTTGCTTTTGGAGCCCATCTTGAACTCAAGGCCGGCTTCTTCCATCCGTTTTGCTTTCCAGAGGTTAAGTCTGAGGAAGTATCCCCCTTCATTGATGAATTTAGTCCTGGTTAAGGAACACTTCCCTACCCCCTGCTGTGGCCCTCTCAGTGACAGATGAGGTGAATCTCTGGTTAGTTTTACAACAGGCTTAAGAATTGCTTGCTTGAGTATGAAACAGCTCTGTGAAATGGAGTGCAAATAGGAGGTGTGAGCAGCTTGTGGCTTCACTCACCAAAGGACTGTGTGGCCCAGTGTCTGGGATCGGTTTTAGGAAGCCTACCCTGCACACCCACCTCCCGCCAGCCTGCATTGCAGGGAAAGCTTAGCCCTGGAAGGAAGTTCCTCCAGCAGCAATTTCCTGCTAGAGGCAGAAGAGCATCCTGAGCTTTCAGATTCTAGGCCAGATCTTTACTGAGAATCAAAAATGGGGAGTCCTGAGGTGTGAAGACCAAGGGGCTTGGTGAAACCAGGACTTGGTGGTTACAATGAAAAGTGAGGGGAAAAGTGAGGGGTCGGCATGAGCCCAGTTGACTTGAGTCTATGAAGAATGCTTATCTTCTAATCAATCCAAGTATGCTGCCTGGAGCATTTGACAAGTTTTTCATACATGTGTTAATAGTAAACTTTCAATTATCAATGAAAAGGTAATTAATCTGCAAAGGAGATTTGTGATTTGAATTTACTGGAAGCATTATAACTTCTAGTTAATGATGTTTATCATAGAAATACTTTTCTTGTTAAATATAAGAATATTCAGCAAACATGATATTTATGAGTCTTTATTGGCCTAAGTCTATTTTGGTAAACAGGGTAGCTAAACTTATGCAAGTTCTGTTGAACTTTTAAAATGAAATAGATTTTGTGGCACTTTTTGCTTTAATATGAACACAGATTGAGTCAACATTTTAAAAACAATGTGATTGAGTTACAGTGTTGTAAGGCCAAAGCCTGTGGAGTAAACCTTCAGAATCAGAGTTGTTCAAGCTTGGGGAAAGGCTGCTGTGACTGCTGTTAATGTGAATCTAGATAAATCTCATTAGGTTAGATTTCAGAAACTTAACCAGGCTCTTTTTTTTTTTTTTTTTTTTTGGTGGAACCGGGGTTTGAACTCAGGCCCCTGCGCTTGCCTTATTCCACTGAACCATCTCCCCGGACCCTACATTGTATTTTCATTGTTTTACATAGCCTCTTATTAGAACTTTAGAGTTGTTTTTTAATTTCTTCCATTCTTACCTATTGTCAGCTCCCCTCTGAGCCCCCCTCCCCCAATCCTGGTGCCCCCACACCCCACAGGCTCTTTGGAGTCTGCCTAGAAGAGGGTGTTGATGAAATGCAGGGCTCCGCATGTGGCAATAGGGCATCTATGCTGGAGTAAGCATGGAAGGGGCCGCACCTTGGGGACTTCCCTTGACGGTGCCACAGGACAGGCTATTCGCTCAACCCCCCTCCCACCCATAATTACTACAGCTCCTTGAGAAGAGTGTGATGGCAGCATGGTGTGGAGAACCCAGCTAGTTTGTGTCCCTCTGGAGTCTCAGTGAATCTGACTGTGACATCCCGGCTGCCTGCTTCATGGGGGCAGCCTTGCTGAGCTGCTCCCCTCCTCGCTCTCCTCTGGTGGATGTCCCTGCTCTCATTCCCAGTATTCCAGGTCTAGAAATTCGTTTTTATACAGGGGACAGATCTCCAGATCAGATCACTCATTCCAGTTAAGAGATCTGCACTTGATCCATGAACTGTGAGAACATTACCTAAGAGAAGAACAAGGAAAGTAATTACAGTTTTACAGACAAGCGCACTTCACTTAGCCCTAGGCATGCCATTCTAGAAGATTATTACAGGCCACTCTGCTTCACCTTTTTATACCCTATTGTCTGCATGTATTTAACCACTAGGAGTTTTACTGGCTGATTTGGGAGACCTCCACACCCTGTCCCCCATATTGGTAATTGAACGCAGGGCTTTGCATGTTAGGCAAGCACTTTGCCAAGGGATTTTTTTCTTTTAGATAGTATCTTCCCATGTAGCTCAGACTTCCCTCAAATGTGGCAGTCCTTCTGCCTCGGCCTCCTTAGTAGTGGGGGGTTATAGGAATATACAACTATGTCTAGCCCCAGAATTCTTTATTTATTTTGTGGAACCAGGGATTGAACTGAGGCCCTTATGCTTGCCAGGCATGTGCTTATTCTACTGAGCCATCTCCCCGGTCCCAAAACATACTTTAAATACAAAGACAGATGTCTTTTTTTTTTTTTAAAGAATTATTTATTTATTCATTCATTCATTTATTCATTCATTCATTTTGTGTGTGTGGCCAGCTCAGCCCACCAGGGGGCGGGGCTGTCTGGCATGTGGTGTGCTGGGGGATTGAACTGTGGTCCCTGTGTTTTGCTTAGCTTAGCTTGTTCTAAGTAGGTGCTTTAGACCACTGAGCCATCTCACCAGCCCTTATTTTTTATTTTTATTTTTCACTTATTTATTTACTTATTTATTTGGTACAGGGTCTCCTAACGCAGCTCCGACTGGTAGAGATCCTCCTATCTCAGCCTCCCCAGTACTGGGATTACAAGTGTGTGCCACCACACCCGGTTTCGGTGGCTGGCAAGGTGTGTCCCGGGTTCTGGGGCCAGCACGTCTGCCTTTATGTTTTGAATTAAATTAATCGGTACATTTTAGGTATATATAATGATCACATTCCTTGTGCTTCAGCCTTTCGAAACTCATTTGTGGTTGACCAGGCAAAATAAACAAGTGCATAAAGCTATATACACACCTGGTGGACCTCATAAGAAGAGGCGATTACACCCAGTATTGACCCTTCTGAGTATGTGAGCTGATGGACTCTTTTTCTCTTCCAACCCCTGTTCAAAAAGCACCTTTTTGAAATACAGTTAATAGGGGTTAGCAATTAAGAGCGAGGTTCTGCCATGCCTAGATTCAATCTCAAATTATTTGGCTTCACTGTACCTCTGGGTGACCGGTGCACAGCAAGCATAGGCTTGGTGTAATCCTAATCTTAAGAGATAGTTGGAATGTGCAGCACGCGTTTCCACCAGGCGGGCTGTGGGAGACCGACCACTTGCCTGCCCCCCGGCTAGTGGGCCCTTTCGCAGGCATCAGCGGAGCCAGGGCTCCAACCAGCCTCCCGCCTAGGAAGCACCACTTGCTCTCATCTCTTAGCAACAGCAGAAAGGTGTCCGCCCAGAATTCTTTAGAATTGTTTTACTGGTACACTTATGGAGGCCTGGAGTGAAATATAGATCTGCTGACCGCTTCTTCTTGGAGCTTCAGCGTGTATATTAGCCACTAAAATGATCTCTTGTTTATCTTTTGGCAAGTAAACTACTGGCTGTGGTTCTAAAGACCATCACTGGGCACTGAAATGTTGAAACATGGCAGGGCTGCTGCCGAATAGCCAAAACAGATGGGCGAGTACCTGGCAGATTGAGGCCCTGGCTGTTACAGTTCCTGTAAAAGTCTCTGGATCGGGTGACAGAAAGCCAGAATCAG